GAGGACTCGTAGTTTACCGACATCGCAGGGGCGGATACAGGGTTTTTTATGGGGGTTCCAAACTTTAAAATTGCCAGACTAAGTTAATGATTTTTTTTATATTATACTAGTAGCTTTGCGGCGAGTGGCTTTCGTATCTGTAGGGTTTTGTGGGGAGTAGGGCTTTGTCTCGGTAACTGGTCATTTCATCCTTGTTGAGAATTAAAGTTTTACGTTTCTTTAACAACTGGCGCTATTCTGAGAATATCATCCTGGCAAAAGTTCCAAAATGAGACCCATGCTCTGATAATGCCTCTAGTTTCAAAGAGCAATAAACATTACCATTATGATCTTATTAGTGTTGCAAAGGATAGTTGAATATTGTTTATTGGAATTAATAATAATCCCCATAATCGTTTTCCAATATAGATAAATTGAAGTACGTAACAAACTGTATAACTCAGTCTCAACAATGAAATAAAGAAATTTATATATTTACATTATTACTAATGCTTTGATGCAGCAATACAACTAATTCAAATTGAAAGAAATTGCAATATAAAATATTCCATCAGTAATACTTCTCAAAGGCGTATTTGGCGGTCAGTGTTATTTACGAAAATATGTTTATAATTTTATAAACTTGCTTGGCAATACCCACCCCAATTAGATATGTGTACATATTTTAATAAAGATATACTAACAAAAATGAAATATTTCATATTTTATTATATAACCTGCGCAAAAGTAATCAATATTTGTCCTTGCTAGAATACAGGAATCCTGATAAAGTTCAGAACTGTTGATTTAGCAATATTAGGTATTGTCAACTTCCTGTGAATTTGATTACTTAAAGTTTTTTGGTTCATGCGCTGCAAATTACAGACCCCAAGAAACCCCTCTAGATCCGTCACTGTATCCTTTGCATAATTAAAATTATTTCATTCCAAAAATGTGAGATTATTTTATATGGGATTACAGTTGACATAAAACTACTATTTAGTTATCTCAATTGTATTATTCCGCCATTTCTCTGATCATAATTAGCCATATTTAATATGTAGTTAGTTTCGCTAATTACAGATAATTAAAAAATTGTAATCGGCGAAACAAGGGTAAGACCCAATATTCACAACTGTAGGACGAAACTTGACCAGTATATTCCCTTTTCAGTCGTATCTATAACTACATAAAACATTTACCGAAAATAACAGGACTTCAATTAGTAACAGATTCCTGATTATCTATAATCAGCAAAACAAACCTTTCACTAATTAAAGTTCCGATATTTTCAGCAAATGTTTTATGTAGTTATATATACAACTGAAAAGGGAATATACTGGTTAAGTTTCGGCCGACAGTGTTTGAACCCAGTTTTCTACCTTTTAGGGGACATGCCAAGTTTAAGTAGCCAGGGCTACAGCCATTCCAATCTGGACACCGTATTCACAGATTGCCCTTAAATATTGGCAATATACTAGGCACATAATGCCAGTCTTGCAACCAGTTTTTAAGCAATGATGTACCACTAAACAATTAAAGTCAACTTGGTTGTCACTTTGGATTATAAAGGACTGACCTACAATGACTCGCAGGATAGAAATGATGAATCATAGCCTCAATTGCAAGTTGATTAATTTTATTGAAATGAATGCAGTTGTCAAACAATGTACGGGTTTGCACATACCATATCTATTCAGATACAGGAAATGTGTAATTATATAACTATTTTAAATAATCAAGAGAATACTGGTTACATGTCACATTGAAAGAAAGCAAATTATAGCTAACCAACAGCTCAATGTATGTGTTGTGTCCTCTGTCAACATCACCATAGAGTGTTGGCAGAAGACAAAATACACCACGAGTTGCAGGCTAATTGCCATATAACAGTTCTCAAATCAGAAAGTATGTTTAACACAGTGGTGCTAAACAGTCACTCATGATACTGTTCAGTGTAGACTGGTCTCACTCATGATACTGTTTGGTTCAGACAGGTCTCACTCCTGGTCACGTTGAAAATTTTTTGTGCATGATAAACTAATAAAATATCAGTAGTAATAATATATATTATGTACAAAAAGAGCAACAGAGTGCATCAAGTGAAACTATCTACTCTCATTCTGATCTATTTTAAAGATCGTTGATTCAGTGTCCTTTCTTGGTGGCTTAATTGGCTTTGCAGCTGTTATCATCTGCCGGGCGTAAGGGTTATTATGTAGATTAGCTGAACGTAACGCTTCTTCCAACCTGTGCCTTGGATCACTGACAACCTGCAAATATTCAAAAATATCAATGTTACTGATTGAGTATCCCCACAGCAGCAAATATAAATGAAGAATTTTGTCTCCACTTAGAACAAGAATTCTTTGAATACATTTGATATGTTAAAAATTATTAGCTAATTAAAATTATATTAATTGAAGGTGAAATGCTAAATTGCACTTCATATACTCCATCTCATTGTAATAGATTGCAGAAAATATAATAGCTCACCTGATCTGTTGTAAATCCTTGGATTTCAAATAAAGGTTTCTGAATGATAACATCTTCATCTGTTCCAATTCCCAGTTTAGCTTTAGAAGACTGAAATAAATATGCTATAGTTAATTATGTTGGCAGGACAATAGACCTACGGACGAATGGACAGGCTGACCAATGGACAAACAGACTGGTATACATATTTAAGCGAATAGTCATAATAAGTGTCATCTGTTACATCTCATTCAGAAGGACTACCTATGATTCAGTTTTAAAACTACTTACCTCAGTCGCTTGCATCATTCTAACAGGGTCGTAATCTATATTCACTTTAACCTGCCAAGTAAACAGAATTACACATGTTACGGCCTATCATGCACACATGGGATGTTACCTGTGCATCCTGCAATGTTAACAGCATGCTACGATCAAGTCTTTCTTCAGATGCAATCGGTTTCACATAAAAAAAAAAGTGCTCCCAACATCATAACAAGGAAACAAATCAGTTGTGTCCGGAACGGCATTCACAGCATATTATTTGGATATTTGTCAATAAAAAATACACTTTTTTTAAATTCAACTATATTCTTGGATGACAACCAAAGAGAGATATCATTTTGACATCACAGAAGCACTTTTTTCATTCCAGGGCATGGCATACAAGAAAGGTTTAATGTTTTTCCAGTATTACGTGACAATAAAACAGTGTAAGTAATTGAGAGTTCCATGGTACATACTAACCTGGTCTCTTAAAGCCTGTAGTCTCTGTTCTTTTTCTATTTCAGCCTCAGCCTGTCTCTCCAGCTGCTCAAGTCTTTCTTGCCTTTTCTCATTCAGTATCTGTACCCTGAACTCCACCCTTCAAAATCAAAACATAGTTGAACTCTGGTGACCTTGCCCTTAGTTATATAATATAATTCCCTTTATCATAGTTTGTTTCAATATAAATATGTATTGTCATAATTAATTTTGAATACTGTAAAAACACTCATAAGAGCCACTTTGTAACACTTTCATTTCTGGGTGGTGCTTATTTGAGGTAACATTTTGACAACTTTGTAGCCAGTGGCTCTTAAACCAGGGTGATCAAACTTTTTCATTGTGAAATGGGGAAGAGATAGGCAAACACACAACCAAAACAGACAAATAATTATTAATGATGTATCATTGCAATTAATTTATTCTGTAAAAATACTGTTATGGGAATAACAAATGTCAAATAAATAAGAACGGCTGCTCGCTGACCGTGCTGCTTAGCGTACATGACGATTCGACGTTCAAGTTTCACCGACAATGTGTAGCGATGCCTGAAGTCGGATTTGGTAGCACTCTCGGGGTCTGACCAACACTTGTACTTCCGTTGTACAATTGTTTACCAAGTCTGGTACGGCAAACTCCAATTTTTTTCTTGAAAACTGGGAATAACTTGCGTGGCTGTGGCTGGCGTGGTGGTTGATTTGGTGACGATATAAAATAGTTCGACAGAATTTATCTGACCAGCAGCGACAGGAGCATGGAACGAATGAAAAAATTATGCCCAATCATTTGTATTTATGGCAAAAACAATAAAGAAAAACACGTTTTTCTATAGATTTTTACAGCTTGGGTACTTGGGCATTGTTTTAATTGCGCTAGACGTCTGAAAGTATCGCTTTGGTTTATATATTTCCTGTTTCATAATCAAGCCAGCTTATAATATGTTAATGATATTCACGTACTTCACTGTCCAGGCACACGGGGTCAAACTATAGCCCCACCCCTATATAACCAAATACGAAACGATACCGAGAAAGTAATAACATGTATTAAAAATAATTTCCTGTGACCAATCGGAGAGACTAAATCATTTACGAAAGCCCAGGCCTGTTACAAGGCATTTTCTAATTGGTACAAGTCCAGATTATTTTCAATTCTTATAAATAGCTAATTTAAATATTTGGGTCAGGCGGGTCACGTCGACTTCGCTTTGCTGTAAGACAAGTTGATCGCGCAAGTTTGTGGAACTAATCCATTCGACTTCAATTTCGATTATTTTCGGCAAGAGAGTCCTCTCCAAACCACCGTCCCTCAAACTAATGCCAGTTATTTTGTCACTTCCCTGAACATTTTGTCTCGAATCACCCCAAAACGAACGTCTCAAATGAAATGCCAAAAATAACCCAAAATCACGATCAGCGAGAGTGGGCTGCGTAATTATTACATTCTCACAGTCACGATCCCTCAAACGTTGCCAGGACCGGATTAACACCTCTGCCCCCCCCCCCC